AATTTGGCGCTTGGAGGATAAATGGTGCCGGGACATGGTGTGGTGGTTGCAACCTGGACCCTTAATCTACTTTCAGTTTTGGATGGGATATTTGGTGGTCTTGATGATAATGTTGCAGTGTATTAGTGTATGTAGCTTAATACATGATGAATGCTCCTAGTAGAACTCTCCACCAAAAGCTAACTCAAAGAGATAGACAACCCAGTAACTAATTGATGTTGGACAAGCATGAACTTCTTATACTTGCCCTCATGTAGCGTGCTGAGCAAAGTGGCCAAGTCCAAAGCCAACATGGCCTCCAAACAAATAAACCCGAGTGCTCGTATATCATGATAAATGGACTTGAGTAGAACTCGCCACCAAAAGCTAGCTCAAAGGGAGAAGGTGGCTAACCCACACTTACACACCATTACAGCGTAGTAACCAAAGGATGTGGGATAAACAGAAACTTCTGACATTATATGTTCTGAAAGAAAACCTAGGTGGTGTCTATTTGATGAAGAAGATTTAGAAGCATGCGATAGGATGTTGTTTCTTCTTATCATGATGAGATCGTTGCTTAAAGACTAAGTAGAAGAATTGTCAGATTAACAGTTAGTCTTTTTTATTGTTTGTCTTCAATGTTCATTTCAGGCTAGTTTAAGTAGGGAGCTTAAGTTGGTGCTGTTACCGGTTTTGTGCTTGCTTGTCGAGAAAGTTTAGGAATGCACTAGATTGAGTCTGTACTCTGTAGTTAGTAGTTACCATAAATTTGCTTCTGAAAGATCACTATTATTAGCCACGAAGCTCAAGTTTTACAGATCACCTTGTGCAAGGGTGGATATCAGGGTCACTGAATCTTAAAGTTTCATTGAGCTGTATTCCGTCCACTCCAACCACTCCTACGGACTCGTTAAAGTGAAAACGAAAATTTCTGAACGATTTCTGTATAAAATTCTATATCAAGTGTGCTTATCTTCAGTGTGTAAAATATGGTCTTGTTCTAAAATGTTTTTGAATACTTATAAGATTACTTGTCTTTGGATAATAGCGAATTACTTAGGAGTTTCTGATAGAACGGAGATTTTCCTTACAGGGGTACCATATGGTCATGCTTCTCTTTCAACCAAACAAAGTTTTGTAGCGAAAGGTATGCTATTTGACTTTTCAGTTTCTTGTCTTCACGTGTGTTAGCACAAAATGGGATAGTTGTGCCCAATACTCCGAACAGTCGAGAAATGGTTATGTTTAATTGGTGTAGCAGCATATGAAAGTAACTGAATATTGGGTTAGTTTTGCCTGCAATGTGGTCAAACCTGGGCCTTCTTTGATGGCGATTCACTTCTAAAATTTACTGCATTTATGGTAAGGGAGATTAGTTATTTATGTGTAAGGAAATATTTATGTCAGCATAAATGTACTATTGAAGAAGTTCGTATCATAGTATCATATGCCTGATTCAACTCACCAACTCCATGGTTACGTTTAATTGGTGTAGCAGCATATGAAAGTAACTGAATATTGGGTTTTTAGTTTTGCATGTAATGTGGTCAAACCTGGGCCTTCTTTAATAGTGATTCACTTGTAAAATTTACTGCCTTTATGGTAAGGGGGAATAGTTATTTATGTGTAAAGAAATGTTTATGTCAGCATTAATGTACTGTTGAAGACATTCGTATCATAGTATCATATGCCTGATTCAACTCACCAACTCCAAGCATTAGACCCATGAATTTAATCAGCTCTGATCACCACTGCATATTTCTTTACATTTCACTAAGCTTTATGCTTCATAACTGTCCGTAAAATTCATACCCCGAAACAATCAATCCTAGGATTCTTTATTCCATTTGACGGGTAACCAACTGGTATTTCAATTACTGAAGCTTCTTCCGAGTTAATTTGACTGAAAGTAGGTAGTTTTCTTCAGCTGAAAGTGTTTAATGGTATATGATAGGACAGTATTATTGTTAAATGTTGCATCTTAGGTTTAACACGCACCAGTAATGGTGGTGACCAGCTGGTGTGGACTTGAGAAACTACAAATCTTGTGCAATGTTTAATGCTTCCTCATCAACATTTAAAGCTCGTGTTTAGTTTCTGGATATATGTGGACGAACCATTATTGCCAAAATCATCAGTTTTACTTCCTCAACTGGCATTCCTTTGAAGTAATGTCTTGATGACTTCTGAGGGGCAATTTTATGAAGTAATGATAAAAAACAGTGGAATTGCATTTATTAACTCCCAGATTCTGTGCCAATTAGAACTGTGGCTTGAATTCTCGGATGGTGCTACTATGCGTACTGTCGCTTTTATTTGTAGTTAAGAGCAGAGCATTGTAAATTGTATATTTATCATACTTGCTGTGTAAACATAGGCTAGCTGTTTAAGGTGTAGTAGGTATTCCAATTATTTCATTTGCAAAAACACAGATGCTTGGTCAAATTTCTTGTAGGCCTGAATTTCCGCCACACCCTATATCCCGCTTATAAGAGCAACCGGCCTCCAACCCCCGATACAATCGTGCAGGGCCTTCAGTACTTGAAAGCATCCATTAAGGCTATGTCCATCAAAGTAATTGAGGTATGATAGTATGCTGTCACTATTAAGGTAGCCGATTGAAGATGCATGTTATTTATTTGATTCTTTTGAGAAGGTCCCAGGTGTTGAAGCTGATGATGTAATTGGGACCCTGGCCGTGAGAAGTGTCAATGATGGATTCAAGGTATTTCCACTACCCTTTGTTGGGTAATATATTGATGATCCAAAGAAGACATGTTTAACAAGTTTTGTTACTGTGGGTGTTACTGTTGATGTGTATTTGGTTTATTAATCATTGTAAAAAGGTAGCAAGATTTTTTTGGAGTTTGCATGACTGGCACCACCGTTATCTCTTGAAGTTAGTTCTGTATTCTGATGCTTTTTGTATCCTGCATTTTGGAATTCCTGTTTCAAAATTGTTATATTATAATTTGATTTAACATATAGCGACAGGTTTGGATGTTTGGCTTCTGTTGAAGCTTTGTTCCGGTCTCTTGGTGTATTTTTGTGCTTTTAGTGTGATATCTCATTCCCTTGACGAGAAGCTCTTGTTCTTACCAGCGATTTTTCTATTTTTCATTAAGCCCCGACTCTTGTGTAATATAGGTACGAGTTGTCTCCCCAGACAAAGACTTCTTCCAAATTCTATCTCCTTCGTTGCGTTTATTGCGGATTGCTCCTCGTGGATTTGAGTTAGTATAAGTCTTATCCCTTCTGCCCCTTTTTTAATTATCTGCGCCTGCTTGATGAATAATAACCTGTCTTCATCTAAATTTTTGCTGGATCATGGCAGTATGAAGGTTTATCTTGACCCTAAATCCTCTGTAGCTAAAACTAACATGATGCAGATACAAAATGTAACAACTTCTTGGATACACATTCATTTTTTTATATTTTGTATTCTTCTCATTTGAATCGTGTATGAAATTTGCTCTTACAAGACAAGACACTAAACAATTTCTTGGATACACATCCATTTTTTTTTTAAATTGGAATCGAGTATCATGGAAGCTCTTACAAGACATTACTTCATTCAAGTTTCTGTTTCATTAAGCCTTATATATGATCGTACTCTATGATCGCTCTATGATTTCTTAAGTGATGGTATCCATATCTTAATTAACAGCAAACCAGTTGATTCAGCAGTTTCCTTAGGTCTTATTAAGCAGATTGATAGGACTTGTGATAATATTTTGAGATGGAATAAAGGCTGTAATGACAGTATCATGGTGGAGGAAAAGTAGGTGAAAGTGAAATGCAAAGTAAAAGCCTTAAAGTAGTAAATTGATGCATTGGACAGTAGTTCAATAAAATAATATGTCACTGAATACTATGGACGGATTGCTATTGCTATTGTTGTTCTTGCTTAAAATCAATGTCCATCACTGATTTAATCACATGATGAAAAGTGCATCTGTCACAATTTTAAAGACTACTACATTTTGAAGTAAACCTCTTTTCTGCATATGTGTCCTAGTGCAGGACGTTTTGAGATCTTATTTTACACATTTTTTTGTGGTGTAATTTGATTTTTTTTCTATCTTATTAATGATTATAACTTTTGATAATTTGCAAAAATGTTTTAGGATGACCTCTTTCGGGATGGAAGATTTTGCTATGAAATATGGAGACTTGGCGCCATCTCAATTTGTTGATGTAATCTCACTTGTTGGAGACAAATCTGACAATATACCAGGTCCATTTGGTTTCCAGACTAAAATAACTGCGAAGGAAAATATTTGCACAGGAGAACACTCTTACATATATGCCTGCATTTATGTTTGTCACATGGAAGCTATCTTCGCAATGATTCAAGTATTGCTTTCGCTAGAAGCATAGAGTTTAATTTATACTTGTCTTTTGTAAAAGGGCCATGTTCAAGACTTAGCCTCCATTCTGAAACTTACATTTAAGTAATTATAACTTGTAGAGTTAAATATTCAGTCACGGTAATGTCTCAACTGTGTTTTATGTTGTGAGTACAATCTCCGTATGTATTTGGGTTAAGGTTTCGTTTTGGTATATAAAGGATATCCATGAATTGGCAACTAGAAATACACGATGGTTATTCAAATTTCTCCAGCGACTCGGTCATAGTTGTGGATAGTAGTGTGACAAGTGGTTTCTGTGGGTTGAGGATATTCTGATTAGGTTTGTGATAAAAAAAATTGCTAGACTCGAGTGACCTATATACCTTCCTCCCTCCTTCCCTCTTTGATTCTTGCAAGCTGTTATATATATATATATTTTAAGTAACTCGTTAAAGGTACTTGTGAAGACTAGGTTTTCCTGACAATTAATGTTTCCATATGAGGCCTTAATAAAAGCAGCACTTGACCTTGCACCTTTGATCAGTTATCATCAGTTGTAAAAGTTGGAATATACTGCTTTCCTGACCAAGATATTCGTTACCACTTGCTATTTACTCTGTTTTAATTTCGTGATTTGGTAAAGTTGGTGGTTCCGTCTAGAGACCTAAAGAATTTGGCAAACTGATTTATTATTTGTAATGCAGGAGTTGACAAGATAGGGGATGTGCATGCTGTTGAACTGATTACAAAATTTGGTATGTCGATACGCAAATTGAACTAATTTTAGCAAATTTGCCAAGCCCAATTCGTAGTGATATTCAGTTTGTCAATTTCTTCGTGATTTATTTTTCCTGGCACAACTCCTAGATGTTTAAAGAAAAGGATTGGAGAGTTAATGGCCAGAAGCTTTCTTAACCTCACCAAATTATGAGTTCATAAAAATCTGCGCTGGAGATTTTTTTTAACCATATACTGATAGCATGAGCCTTCATGGACAAAAGGATAAAATGAACAATCAAAGCATGAACTAGTCGCGAAAACGTATGCGTGGGAAGCTTAATTATCTCAAAGTCACATCTCTAAATTTATTCATATGAAAATTTCATAATAAAAACAAATCAGTGACTCGAGGAGTAAATCAAGGTGGATAAAGTAAAATATTTCCACTCTGCTCAAGGTGGTGAGGTTACATCACATTTCACCTGAATAATGATCTCTTGATGTGCTGCTATTATGGAGAAGTTATTGAGAATATCCCATGGGCATGTATGGGATACAAATCAACCTGCTCTCAAGCTTTTCTGTGATACACAGCCTATTAATCTCATTTCAGTTCAATCATGTTGCTGTGAAGTTGCAGTGCCAGTGACTGGCGTCAACTTTGTCTGGTCAAATTTCTAAGCTGACTCTGTGACATGAGTGTTTTTAATGAATCATTTGTTTTTCATTATGTACTAAGCTTCCCCAAGAAGAATGCTAGGTTGCTAAACTATGCCTCTGAATTTTTTTAAACTCAAAATTTGAATAATTCTTTTTTCATCAAGTTTATTGTATAGTTGCTAATCTGACTCCTTTTTTTAATTTCTATGTCATTAGGGACGTTGGAAAATCTGTTGGATTGTGTTGAGCAAGTTGATGAGGAGCGAATTAAAAAGGTTGTTTGGTTATGTTGCAAATTCGTTTGCTTTTGTTTGCTACTTTTCTTTATTACCTTTAATGTCTCTTGCCTTTAACCATTGTTGTATTTCCTCCTTAGCCTCAAGTTTTAAGCACATATGCTAAATTTTAATATCGGTCAGCTGGAATTTGATCTTTGTTACCAACATTATCTAAAGTTGTTAAACCTCTGGATTTTATGAACGAAATTCTGTATTGAACCGCTTTATTTAGCTCACGCACCAATCATGCTCTGGTTGTCTTACGAATCCAGAATGGTTGTCTCATTCAGTGAAGTTATCTGAATCAATTTTTTAGATTCTTCAAAATATGGGATAAATAACTTGCTGCCAATTGAATGAATAATGGTAGAATTTGCAATCAGTTTTTCGTATTGCATTTTTAGATTAAATGGTTATATCTATATCAAACGTACAAATTTCTATTTATTCTACAGAATCATGTTTGTATATGTGCCAATTCCCAAAGTCATAAATGAAAAGATAAAAAGAGAGCTTCAAGTTTTCGTGAGGTTATTTGTATTCACTTGTGTAGTCTCTGACCTGTGCTCTCTCTCTCTCTCTCTCTCTTTCTCTCTCTCTCTCTCTATATATATATATATAATTATATAATATTTATATATCCGATTTATCTTGAATTTTTCTAACACATGCTTTCGTGTTCTGAAAATTTTGTTCTGATTTTTCACTTCCAGGCACTGATTTCAAACTCCGAGCAGGCAATTCTAAGCAAAAATCTTGTAAGATTGTCTACAGTAGGAGATTCATCATTTGAAAAGAATAGATAATTCTAAATATCCAAGTACCTCAATGTAGGCTATGCTGCGTTCTGATCTTCCCTTCTATATGGTTCCATTTACCACCAATGACCTGGGTTTTGTCAAACCAGAGGTGAGTTCAAACGAATTCGTTTTTGTTGTTAAATTGAGAAACATAATCTATGCGAACCTCCTGTTTTCACAGTACAATAATGTGGATTGTCCAGTGAAAATTGGAAATTTATTTATATTCCTTTTCATATCTGTCATTATTGGCTTGGCTGTTGTGATTTTCTTTTTTCTTTTTCCATATATACATACATATACATACATATATATATATATATATAATATATCAATTCAATGTGGTCGTACATTTATCATTGAAGTTGTGATTGAATTAACAAAAAACGTAAATACAGTATTAACAAAAAAAAAAATACCATTCATTCCAACTCAGTTTCTCTTCCCAATCCCATCAATACAATTTCTTTTTTTAAAAAAAAAATAAAAAATAAAAAATCATTACCGCATGGCTTCCAACAAATGATATTATTCACATATTTCCAGTTACCAATCATTATCAATTACTATTTTACAGCTTTTCCATCACATCAACTCTAATTATTACATTATGTCTTACTCTTCACAATGTCAAAAATATTTGTTTCCGGCTTATTCCATTTTCAATTGTTAAGGCAAGACAATTTTCCGAAACTTTATGTATCCTATCGCAACCTTAGTTTCAGGAAAAGAACATGTCTGGCCATAATTTCTAAAGGATCAATGTCATTCAAGAGAATTTTTTCTTTTCTTTTCTTTTTTTTTTTAGAAAAAAAAAAGAGATTTTTTAAAATGTCGTGGGGTTTGGAGAATTGGGAGTTGGAGAGATAGCAAGCTAGATTAGAAACCAATAGAAATTTATCACATAAGAAATAGATATAACCTTTACCCATCTTGAACCCTAGAAAAGCTTACCTATCTTTCATGAATTTTCTCACAAATAGAAGGGCACATGAGTGTGTACTTAATTTAATAACCATATAAAATGATTTCGGTTTCACGTTTGGCTATACATGAAGACTGCTGTCAGTGTCGGTGCTAAGGTAGTTTGACAGAATTACTCGAGACAATTCTTATTCCTGTGAATCTTAAAGTTTTCAATGGTGTATTTCAGGACAATGGTGAGAAATTCACGAGCCTTTTGACTGCCATCAGTGCTTATGCTGAAGGATTTTCAGCAGATCGTATAATTAGAAGGGCCTTCTATTTGTGGAAGAAGCTCGAAAGAAAATGACTTGCAATAATACAGACCTAAGTACTATGCTCTTACCTCGGATGAAGAAAATTCTGAAACTCAAAAGTTTTAGCAACTCCAGTCGAACTCTGACTGCTCTTGGTGCTTTTTGCAAAAGGGTCATTTTGACAAATTATCATGAGGGTGCTCACTGAAGGAGAAATTTGAAGTCCAATATCTCGGATTATACGTGTGGCTTCAGAACTTAGATTTTTTTTTTTTTTTTTTTTTTTTTTTCTCCAGATGAAAAATGCAGAATTAGCTGCTATGGTATGTTTATAGCTAGTTCTAGTGATGTTCTAAGGTAGACATTTACTGAATACTAATGCTGTAGCTTTTATTTTATTTTATTTTATCACTTTTTTCAACTCTGGCTCGTCTTGTTTAAGTTTGTTCAATGACTATGAAGGTATGGCATTAGCTACCATCTTTTTTAAAGGGGAAAATGTTTACTGGAAACAATAATGTTGCTAAAACATCTCCATCATATATTCAAACTTTCATCCCATACTGAAATAATAGCATAACAAACAAAACTGGGATTTCACATCATAATTCTCCTATATATGAATTCAGAACGTGCTGAGCTTGTGTGGCAGGCTCGTATGTTTCAGGACCTAAGTGGTAAAATTACATGCTTCGTTATTAGGCTTGGGTAGATTTAATTTACTTCTAATCCAAAAATATTTAGGTTCGGATGATCTATAAATATGTTGATTATTTATGGCAGGAATGGACACGGTCCGGGACGGTCTTGAATAATACATGGGTGTTGTGCTAGTTATCCTTTTATATTAAAAGAAATATAATGAGTCAATTCATTCCATTTAATTGTTGTGATATGATGACTTACAGTAGAATGTGTACTTGAAACGGGTGTTCCCACTTCTAAGCAAGAAAATACAATTTTATAACTTAATATGTACCCCTTTTTTAAATAAAATGCATAAATAGAGTTTAAGTTGCAATCAAGCAATCTAAAAACTAAAATGAAACCAAATGGTGTGATTAAATGCTGTTTCTTAATTTGGTTCCCTTTAAGAAGTGTCCCATATGATTAGGAAAAAAATTACCTATGTCAGTTGCAGATCGTACAAAATGACACCAATATCAGTGAATTTTGTAACTATAATAATTTATAATACAATTTGATAATGCGAACAAACGAGCAACAATTCTTCCTTTCAATAACAAAAGAGAGTCTTAGCTCTACTCGTAGCTTGTCTTCACATTAAGAGCATCTCCAATGGTCTTTCCATTGCTGCCACATGGCAAAAAAAATCTGACGTGGTCTGGAAAATGTCTAGAAGGCTTTCTAGATGTAGAAGTCCTTCTAAACAACTTCTATTATATATTATATTATTTATTCAATTTATCTCTCTTCTCCTACCAATTACAATTTTACACATCACAAATGACACCACAATTAACACTAACCATTGGAGACAAAAAATTTTAATTCTCTTTCTCCATGTTATACATCACAATCTCCATTGGAGATGCTCTAAAACCTGCCTTAAGTAACCCCGTTTTTTGCAGTTAGCTCGACTCGACACTCGATTTTTCAAGCTCCAGTGTGGCATTAAACCCAAACTCACTTCCAGGGGTAAAAGCTGATTTTAGTTCTTCTGCAGTCTGGATGGTGATTATCTTGTTGTCCTTAACGGCTAGATTTTCCTGGGAAATATAACTAATTTCGCTAAGAGAAAAATTCGGTTTGGCAAAATCAAGAACACGTGTTGATGGGTGACTCGGGCTTTTACCTTCTTCACATATTCAGCCACAGTACTGCTGATGATTTCTTGAATTACGAAATTGGTAACTCGATCTTCACCCAGAATTTTCAGAAGAAAGTCCTTCGGCACCTGCATTTTAGAAAGTTAATAAATCGTACGCATTTGTCGTAGAGCGAAACTTTGAAGCACTTAAAACAGAAAGATTAAATAAAAGCTTCACAAGGCAAACTTCTTGGCGTAAATGAAAAATGAGCATAAAAAACTAAACTTCTTCTTCTTCTTCTTCTTCTNATTTCGCCAAAACATAAATAAGTGAACTCCTGAAAAATACACGGAAACAATTTACCTTAGATGTCTTCCCTGCAGCAGAAGGTGAAGAGATAGAATCAGAAGTTAATCAGAAAATCATATTGGCAGGTTCTGGAATTATCTCTACAAGGTTAGCTGATAAACTTTTGTATTATATTTGTGGTTTGTGAATATCAAAAAGACGGCTTAAGGAGAATGAAGAAAACGAAACAAAATCAAAGTCGAGGCACGTAATAGTTACGTTCTCCTTAAGACGAAATTGCCCCGTAAAATACCCACGGTTAACGGCAAACGCCTCCAAGATACAACGACTTTCGACTTGTATATAGCGGTACTTCAAATATACAAGACTTTGGCGAACACTACTATTGTTTGGAACTCTCAAGACTCAATGAAAAAATCAAAGAACACAATATGCTATATGATCTTTGAGAAGTAATGCAAGAGCACTCTAATTTTCATAATCTTAATAATTTCAAGTATGTGGGTATTTATAGATGTAGGGAAATACCTCCAAGAGGTTTAAGTGTCAAAAGACACCTTTTGGGACGTGCCCGAACGAGAACGGATGCATCTAGTGGCCAAAAGATACCTTATGGTCACCAAGGGTTGCGACCCTTTGATTTCCGTAGCCAGTTGCGCGCCCGTGCGCCGTTGGCTCGTACGAGCTCATACGGACTCGGAATCGAGTTCCGTTTTTTCCTACTTGTCCCCAACGAGCCCTTCTACATATCTAGCATACATAATGCATAATTATGGCTCATTTAGTTTGTCCAAACATTTGTCAAAACAGAATGTTTGTGAACCCTACAATCTTTGAGTTATTTAAACTCAATTAATTAACATATAACACTTAGAATTAATTTCTCATTCACCTTAAAAAAGTTTTGAGAATTTCCTAAGTCTTCTACTTACGAAAAGCAGAATCATTAAATCAGTACAAAACCAATTTTGTCTTACAACTTTCACTATTTTCACTATGAGAGCGGTAAGACCATAATTGTGTATTAAAATCACGTAGAAAAATGAAATTAATTGTACATTGAATCATGTATGTCTACCACCTGATGAATTGCAAGTGATTTAAGTTGAGAACTTTCAAATTGGACAGCATGTCAAAAGAAATCTCGAGTAATGCGTGAGCATCTAAGAAATGAAAACTTGAATTTGTTATTATTATTGTTGTTTTTTTNCAAGGTGAACTTCATTGCTGAGAAATTACACAGGTATACGCTCTCACCTTTTCTTGTGCTGATGACAATAATCAACAGCAAGCTAATCTGTGACCGACAGAATAATTATTTTGTGCAGAACTAGCAATTACTGTAAACACAAAAGTTATGGCACAATGAATTACTCTCATCATCAAGAAACTCTTATACATTTCAAGCTATGAACATAAGCAACTAAAAAATTCCAAATTATTGCATAACTATCCTCATAGCATCTTCATAGTTAGAATAATGCTACTCTGACAAACCGTATTAGACATAATGGTCGACATAAATGATGTGTAAGTATTTGAGTTGTTGATTTTAAAGTGATGCGATGTGTAAAACCAAGCAACGTATGTATTATGTCAAAGTTTATGTTTGTGTAGCAGCTCTTATAGTTATCATATGAAGAGTTGAATGCAAATGCGCACTTGTTGAATGATATTTTCTACGATGAACTAAAACGTGTGTAATACTAATACCAACTTAAATGGAAACCTCTCTGATAAAATAAAATTGTAACACAGTTGAATGTTTTCAGAAAGAGAAAGAGAGAGATTGTAAAAGGGTGCCTATTTACTACCAAAACTGTGTATGGACCCACTAACTGAAGAAAAAAAGAAAAAAAAAAAAAGAATTACCTCCTTTTTCCCTACGAAAACCGGGAACTGGTGGAGCAGTGCGTGCTAAACTTCTCAGTATCTTCTCAAACACTATCTGTGTGTCTTCCCCTGACATATCCACCCTTACCTGACACATGAAGTTTTTGTCCATGTTGATTTAAGAGAAAAGCGGAACCAAATTTTCCATGGTTTTCATTTCATAATATTCGAGCATACAAGGCTCATGCACTAATATTAAGAACTAAACAACGTCGGCTAGGCTCATAGGTGTCGCTAAATTAAAAAAGACGCGTTCAACAAACAAAAGAAAAACATGACTTCCTTAACAGAAATACGAAAAAAGAATTACTACGGCATTAAAATGAATACTAAAGCTCATCCGCTCACAGTCTAGAGAATTCAAATAGTGCATTTGCAAGCAAACCTCGTAAAAACTTCACATCTAATGAATTCAGAGTTCCTGGTATGAATGTTCTTTAGCCGAATACAGAGAATTCAAATAGTGCATTTGCAAGCAAACCTCGTAAAAACTTACATCTAATGAATTCAGAGTTCCTGGTATGAATGTTCTTTAGCCGAATACTTGTCATTAATCCAGGGCAATTCACATTTTTTTCTCATTCTAACCACAAGCAAGAATCTCATTCCATGTAAAAAAACAGATATAAGAGAAACATAAATGTGTATACATGTTTTTGCACATTTGATAACTAACAAAAGTTTCGAAATATTTAAATGCAGCTTCAAAACATTATGCATTAACTATAAGAAATTTGATTTGTCATCTAGTAATCAGTTAGCCAATAAGGAAAAGGATTAGAGAAAGGCAATAAAGTCTCACTTGCATCTTATCGTCATCCTTGGACTCGACAACTACCTCAATATCTTTAACCATAATCAATTTGCCCTTTGGATCAGTAATAGATGCCTCCATGCCTGTATTCACACATGAGCTTACTCTCCATAAAAAATCAAATAAACAAAAAGTGTACTCATAATTCACATAACCCGTCGATATTACCCGAACCAACAGCCGATACAGGCCGAAGCAAAACTTCCGCGCTGGCATTTGAAGATCTACAGTAACTCAGTGAGCTGAAACTCATAATGTAGGCAAAATTCAACACGTGACAAACCGAATCACACGAGAAATTGAAAAGCGATGATGTAATCGGATAATACGCAAATCGCAATGCTAATTTCTGCACAATAAATAAACAAATTGCCCTAAAAATTATCTGCCATGGTTACGTACCTCGACGGAGCAAATTTTGAAGCGGGATAAAGGCTCACGCAGAGCAAACGACTGCGTGCTCGGACACCGCTCGGGAGGCTACCGACGGCGACCTGCTGCGGAGAATAACGCGAAAATTCATGCGCCTATTTCAGAATGAGTTAAGCACACACACCAAAATTGGGGGGAAAAAGTCGCTCAAATTTGTGAATATTTAATGGAATGAGCAGCAAAAATGCAAACGAAAATATAATTGCGAGGTCAAAAAAAAGGTATGGATGAATTATTACGTAATTTAATCGATGAGCTGTGGACACCATAGCCATAGTTCCCATCAGGAGTGGATGAAGAAGATAACAAACCAGGCTATCAGTAAATAGTAACTAACTGCTGGTTCTTATGTTGCAGGTTGATTCTAAAACTAATCCAAGCTAGCCAAATTCAAACTAGACTCGCTAATTAATTAAGCTGATAATCAAATTCGAAAGTGATTTTATATTTATCAATAAATATGAAGAACTCGAAGTTTAAGGAGTTGAACTCACGACCAACTTGATTAGTTTAATAGAACACAAAATTCGTATTTCTTCCACTTACATTTTTGGGATTCTTTTTAGAAATAAATATATATTTTAATGTACACTGTGTATGTTAAATGTACAACTAAGGATCATAGTTACAAATATATTGGACTTATATAATAATTTTAAACAATCTTCTCAATCAATTAAAAAAATATGAAAAATGTTAGTATTATATTTCTTAAAAACACTAATGTGATTGTAGAGAATAATGTTTGTCATATTTATTTATGTGATGTCATACATTTATTTATATTGTTTTGTAGATAATATATTTTATTTTGAAATTATACTCATTATTTAACCGTCATACTTGTCTGATGATAGAGAGGATGCAAACGAGCTTGTTGTTCGTCGACCATGCACCTATTGCTAAGGCTGGAGGGGAACACAAGTTGTACTCCCTATTGCATTAGATACTATGTATTTTGAGGCAAAAAAACTTTTAATAATCTATATATATATATATATATATATATATATATAATCACGTTTCCGGGCTCCCGGGCTCTCAATCTACTTCGCGGTGGAAGCGGTGTTTCAGGAGATACTCCGAGTGAATTTTGCAAAATTCAGGAAAAAAGAAATCTTATAGGGTTTGGAAAATGGAGAGGGTTGTGTGTTTGTTTTGAGTTTGAATTTAACAATACCATGACAGTTTGACAGAAACACACCGCAAGCACCGGAAGGTCATCCACCACGCAAGCACAAATGTCCATTCGTAGGTATGAAGAGCAGATTTTCAGGAGAAAATCCTTCAATAATGAATACAGTGTGGTCTTTTCTCGGTAAGAGAATGTGGTAAAAGTAATAAAATGTGGACACTTGTAAGCCATTGAAAGTGCCTAAATTGGACACTTGTCAACACCACAAATAGTCTAACTCTTTCATATATAGATAAGATACTAGTACAACACCCATGTATTACATGGGTGCCGACGGTGCCTCATCCCGGACCGTTCATGGACGGGTTCAGGATGGGTATCCGGACAAGTCAAATCCAGGACCGTCCCGGCCGGCGCCCATCCTTACCATAAATAATCAACATATTATAGATAATCCGAACCTAAATATATTTGGATTAGAAGTAAACTAAATTTACCCAAGCCTAATAACGAAGCATGTATTTTTGCCACATAGGATCCCGAAGCATGCGAGCCTGCCACATAGGCTCAACACGTTCTCAATTAATATATAAGGAAGATATATATCTAATAGCATTTAATAAAACATTTAATAAAACTTCATTTCGATTTCCCGCCAAAAACCGTTACAAACTTTATCATTTATATCTCTCTCTCTATATTTAATTACTAATAGTAAATTTAATAATATATATTAATTGTTGTTTACCATCTTTTTATGTTACAATCTTCTATTATTATTATTATTCCTCCACCATATCTAGTTAATGTTAAAATATTTTATTGCACTTTTTTTAGGGTCAATTAAGACAAAACACGTTAAATTTTATATTAACTGAGTAATAATTATACTATTTTATTGTATCATATAATAGTTATTATTAAAACTAATAACCATAGTTTACACTAAATGATATATGGAAGTTACATAAACGTAAAAAAATATTGTAAACTTTTTGCTAAAGTTATTTATTCTAAAATTAATATTATATTTTTTTTATCTTATTTAGCGATTGTATTTTTAAATAAGTTAATTTATTTTAATGTTATAGTAAAATTTCTTAAAATCGCATAATCAAATGTTATAATAAATTTAATATCTTTAAGCTAATAAATTGGCGATCTCACAAAATTACATTATTTATTATATTTTATGCAATTAATATGAGGTTTCAAGTGCAATCAAATAGTTATGTACTATTTATTTTAACCAATGATCAAATTTTAAAACATAATATCATAATCTAATTTATTATCTTATTATTATATGCATAAATATAACTTATAATATTGTATGTTTAAAATATAATATCATTGTATAACTTATAATTTTAATATTATATGGATAAATATAACCTATAATATTCTATTTACACTGTACAAATGCACATGGTCGAATACTAGTAATAACAACTATCAATCTAGTGAATCAATATTTTATTAATTTTGAATTACATTGATTTTCTAACTACCAATCTAAACATTCAATGTTTTATTATTTTATATTATCTACGGAATATTATATTTTTTTATAGCATATTCATTTANACATATAGTGACAACTTAGGGTTGTGTTTGGTAAATATATAAGCTAACTTATAACTTATTGATTAGCTTATAAGTTTCATGTATTTAAATAATCTTGGTTTGGTAGGAGGTTTTTTTTTAAGCTCGAGTTTATCTTATAAGGTTCTTTAGGTAACTTTTCAAATAAACTCAATGAAATTTTTATTTCAACTAACTTATTAGCTAATTTTATCGAACACTTTTATCATATAAACTAGTTTTTCAGACATAAGTTATAAGCTATCAGCTGTAAGCTCGAAATTCACTTAATTTATAAACTACCTTATCAGCTAGATTTACCAAAAATAGCGAGTGTGTTTCGTAAGCACCATAAGTTAGTTTATAGCTTATTTGGTCAGCTTAAGCTTTCTATATACAAATAACCTTGGTCTGATGAAAAACTCGAGTTGATCTCATAAATATTTTTGAATAGTTTTTCAAATGAGTTCGTTGATATTTTTAGCTCAACTGACTTATCAACTAATTTTACATAACACTTTTATTACATTAGATATAAGCTACCAACTAACTTATTAATTATTTTTACCAAACATGTATGCATTTCGGTACGATTGAGTAAAACTATCGCATAGTTAATTTTTTTTTACAAGAGAAATGAAGAATTTGTACGGCTATTTCCTAATAAATCCCTAATTCACATTTCAACTTCCTTCTCAGTCCCTACCACTTTTAAATTTCCTCTGCACTCCCTAATACATATTTCTCTTTCCTCTCAACTCCCCATATAAATACTAATATTATTATTATTGATTTATTTTATCTGAAAATCATAAAAAATTGGAAAAAAATTCAGATCTCTCTCTCAATTCATCGCTCTCAGTTCATCTCTCTCAATTCATCACCTTTCGTCTCTCTGTCTCTTTGAATTCCATTGCCGATTCAAAGTAGAAATCCGTCACCGAGACACGATTTCATCTCTGAACACGAACACGATTCTCCCTCCGTCGTCGGCCATATCTCCGGGAAGTTTGCCCCACCATCTCCGGCCATCGAGGTACAATGGCGGGCTCGAAAGAACCCTGAAATCTCTCTCAAGTTCCACCATTTCAGATCCGCATTTATGTGGCAATTTTATCCCCGATTCTTCTCCATCGGCAGCCACCCGTACGCGAACCCTTCATCTTCACTGGCATCAGATGGTCAAGATCGAATTGAAGTTCTCCAGGTGGTGTACGCGAGCCCTTCATCTTCTCTTTGGTTTATGTTTTTTCCCCTTCCCCTCTTTACAGGAAAAGAAAATCTACATTTTTTTTTTGCGTTCCCATTTTCAACAAACCTATTAAATGACGGATAGATCGTTGGACATCACAAGGATGCTCGCTAGGTTGTTCAGGACGGCAAGCATATGGTGCTCCTAGACTTTTTGTCGACCACATCCGCTCCCTCTTAAATTCCGCACCCCTTAAAACTCTCGTCGTCTCCTTGCTCAGTATCTCGCTCGCTAGAATCACCTCCTATCAGGTACTGAAATTTAGTGGGTTCGTGTGGTTGTTGAACTTGTCGGGCTAGATGAGTTCAGTTCAGTTTGGCACTTCGTTAAATAGCAGTCTATGTTGTGAAGCTGATTGAGAGTCTTTTTGCGTGCGCTAATGGGGTTTTGTAAATTGGGATTTCCTACTTTTGATATCAAATTGAATCTAGCATTGAGTAATTGTTGAAGCTGAAGTTAACCTGTTTGATTTACTTTTTTTTGTTACTAGTTAAATCAACTATTTTTTCCCCTAGGTTCCTAGAAGATTAATGCCTTGGCTAGCTCGTCTTTCTTGAAATTCAATTGTTCTCTGGTTTTTTTCCATTTTTGTTCTAACCACAATTTCTGCTAATCTTTTATGGCTGCTAGGTTGGTATGTTTTGACCTAGTATTACAGTCATTCTAAAAATGAAAATTACACTTGTTAACAAAATTTCTCTGCCCCTGAAATCAACTCTTTTTCTCTTAGCTATGTAGCTCTTATAATTGCAATTTGTGAGAATAGGCTATGTAATTGTTTTTACATATTTTTACAGCTTCGTCTTGATTGGATTGTTACCTCCACCTTGCAATCAAGTGCTAAGATTCCAATGGTAGGTGACTATCACATATAAAGGTACATTCAAGTAGGAAATGCAGTTGCTGTGCATATTGCTCGTGCATTGAGATATTCCTTAGCTTTGGCAATTAGAGGATTGTCGGGTGAAAGCCCGTTGTTGACCCTACCCGATGAATACCCAATCGTGAAAGACTTACCGTCTCCGGTTATTTTGATGGAGTGATTATGAAATGTGTTTTGTCTCTTGATAATTTATTCAAAAAAAGGGTAAAATAATGTATATGTATGTGTAGATACCTTAAGTTATGGTGGGTTTGTGTTTTTAAAATTCACACTTTGTTTCTGATTAATTATTATATTCATTTTCCGGGTTCTTACCATATTTTCGTTATCCGTAGGGTTCTTGTCGTATTTTCGGGTTCATATCATGTTTCTGAGTATTTGTTTGTTTTTCTTATCTATGTTCACCAAGTGTTTGATGAAATGCTTGTAAAATAATGCTTGTTTAACTTTGCTGACCATTAGTAAAACTTTGTTGGATGTAGGTTGGATGTGTTGTGCTCATTTTTGTTGGATGCATTTCATGGAGGTTTTTTTTGACTATTTTATACAAGTGTGCACAGTTAATGTCATCTTATTGAGTTATGGAAGCTTCTTCTAGTGTTGATCGGTTTCATGTTTTAGAATAATGTAATTATTCGATATTTCGTAATTGAGGATAAGTCACGAAGGACTCTATTATTTATCTATTCTTTTTGCTTTTAGTTTGCCTACGCAATACCTATTTTTAATCAATTAGCACCTACTTTGGTCAACGAAAATGGATTATTCTTTGTTCAACATTTGTGAAATTAGTACCAGCCCTAAAGTTAGATAGTACTCATTAAATGGTGTTTCAGTACCAGATATCGAGTCCTCAATACCAATTGCAACGAACATTAAAAAAAATCGAATTTCGATCTTAAATGATTTTTATATAACTCAAAATGACTCGCACATTAGTTTCTATGAGATTTAAAATGTTTTTAATCGAGTTTAATCGCAAATTGGTCATGAACTCGACACACTAATGAGAAAACACTACTAATACACTTCATCTCATAGAATCATCATACATGACTATTTCAAATTCTACTTATATGTTTTAACTTCCACAATTTTTCATCCAATTCATGCGTTAACGATCCACGTGAAAAGGTAGACATGAAAGATTAAAAAAAATCATGATTCCTAAAACAGTACCTGTTTTAGCTAAAATAGTACAACATCTTCTTCTACGTGGTACCTGTTTTTAATCGATCAGTACCTACTTTTGTAAAGGAAAATGGATTATTTTAATTTTGGTCAATATTTACAAAAAGTAGTACCAGACATAGAGTAAGATAGTATCGATTTTATATTGTAGTAGTACCTGATATTGTGTCTTTAGTACCACTTATAATTAACACATAAAAATACCGAATTTCAGTCTCGAATGATGTTCATATGACCCATAATCACTCTCACATTAGTTTATATGAGATTTAAAATATTTTTTAATTGAGTTTAATCGTACAATGGTCATAAACTCGACACACTAATGAGAAAACACTACTAATACACTTCATTTCATTGAATGACACACTTCATCTTATAGAATCATCATACATGACTACTCCAAATTCTACCTATATGTTTTAACTTCCACTATTTTTCATCCAAATCACATGTTAATGATCCACGTGTCATGGTAGACATGAAGGATTAGAGAAATCGTGATTCTTAAAATAGTACATGTTTTAGCCAAAATAATATCGCATTTTCTTCTACATGGTACCTGTTTTTGATCGATTAGTACCTACTTTTGTGAATGAAAATGGATTATTTCAATTTTGGTCAACATTTACAAAAAGTAGTACCAGACATAGAGTAAGATAGTACCAACTTTATATTATTGTAGTACCTGATATTGGGTCTTTAATACCACTTGTAATGAACACATAAAATTACCAAATATCGGTCTCAAATGATGTTTATATGACCCATAATCACTCTCACATTAGTTTACATGAGATTTAAAATATTTTTAATTGAGTTTAATCGTAAAATGGTCATGAACTCACACACTAATGAGAAATCACTATTAATACACTTCATTTCAGTGAATGACACATTTCATCTCATAGAATCATCATACATGACTACTCCAAATTCTATCTATATGTTTTAACTTCCACTATTTTTCATCCGAATCACGCGTGAACGATCCACGTGTCATGGTAGACATGAAAGATTAGAGAAATCACGATTGTCAAAATAGTACCTGTATTAGCCAATATAGTACCGCATATTCTTCAACGTGGTACCTGTTTTTGATCGATTAGTACCAACTTTTTTCAACGAAAATAGATTACTCAATTGTGGTCAACATTTGCAATAATTGGTACCAGACCTAGAGTAATGTAGTACCATCTTTCGGTGTTTTAGTACTAGATATCTGGTCTTTAGTACCACTTGTAATGAACAAATAAAAACACTTAATTTCAGTCTCAAATGATGTTTATATGACCAATAATCACTCTCTCATTATTTTCTATAAGATTTAAAATGTTTTAAATTGAGTTTAGTTGTAAAATGGTCATGAACTCGACACACTAATAAGAAATCACTACTAATACACTTCATTTCATTGAATGACACACTTCATCTCATAGAATTGTCATACATGAGTACTCCAAATTCTACCTATATATTTTAACTTCCACTATTTTTCATCCGAATCCCGCGTGAACAATCCACGTGTCATGGTAGACATGAAGATTAGAGAAATCGCGATTCTCAAAATAGTACCTGTATTAGCCAATATAGTACCGCATCTTCTTCTACGTGCTACATGTTTTTGATAGATTAGTACTAACTTTTGGTCAATGAAAATAGATTATTCAATCGTGTTCAACATTTGCAATAATTGGTACCAGACCTAGAGTAAGGTAGTACCATCTTTCGATGTTTTAGTACCAAATATTGGGACTTTAGTGCCACTTGTAATGAACACAAAAAAACACCGAATTTCGGTCTCAAATGATGTTTATATGACCAATAATCACTCTCACATTATTTTCTATGAGATTTAAAATGTTTTAAATTGAGTTTAATCGTAAAATGGTCATGAATTAGACACACTAATGAGAAATCACTACTAATACATTTCATTTCACTGAATGACACATTTCATCTCATAAAATCATCATACATTACTACTCAAAATTCTACCTATATGTTTTAACTTTCATTATTTCTCAACCAAATCACGCGTGAACTATCCACGTGGCATGTTGGACATGGAGGATTAAAGAAATCACGATTACTAAAATGGTACCAGTTTTGACAGAAATAGTACCACTTCTTCTTCTGCGTAGTACCTGTTTTTAATCAATTGGTATCTACTTTTGGTCAGAGAAAATGGATTACTTCAATTTTGGTCAACATTTGCAAAAATTGGTACCAGACCTAGAGTAAGATAGTACCAGCTTTTGGTGTTTTAGTACCAGATATATGGTCTTTAGTACCAACTCTGACGAACATAACAAAACACAGAATTTCTGTCTCGAATGACGTTTATATGACCCATTATCACTCTCACATTAGTTTCTATGAGATTTAAAATACGTTTAATTAAGTTTAATCGCAAATTGGTCATGAACTCACGCGCTAATGAAAAAACACTCTTAATACACTTCATCTGATTAAAAGACACACTTCATCTCATTGAATGATCATACATGGCTACTCCAAATTCTACCTATATGTTTTAACTTTCACTATTTCTCAAAAAAATCACGCGTGAACGATCCACGTGGCATGGTGGACATGGAAGATTAAAGAAATCACGATTACTAAATCGGTACCAGTTAATAATACTGTTTCTTATTCTGCGTAATACCTGTTTTTAATCAATTAACACCTACTTTTGGTCAACGTAATGGATTACTTCGATTTTGGTCAATATTTGCAAAAATTGGTACCAGATCTATAGTAAGATAGTACCAGCTATTGGTGTTTTAGTACCAGATATTGGGTCTTTAGTACCAACTCCGACAAATATAAAAAAAAACACAGAATTTCCGTCTCAAATGACGTTTATATGACCCATTATCACTCTCACATTAGTTTCTATGAAATTTAAAATGTGTTTAATTACGTTTAATCGCCAATTGGTTACGAACTCAACGCATTAATGAGAAAACACTACTAATACACTTCATCTCATTAAAAGACATACTTCATCTCATTGAATGATCATACATGATTACTCCAAATTCTACCTATATGTTTTAACTTCCACTATTTCTCAACCAAATCACGCGTGAACGATCCACGTGGCATGGAGGGAAAATTTTATTGTAGGGCTTGACTTTTTGTTATTGTGTCACAACATTTTCATTTGAAGGTTTCAATTTTAAGTTATTCTCAATATAAGGCCGACTTTATTCACAAATAATATTTTCTAGAATTTTATTTAAAAAAATAAAATTCTTTTTCTAAATAGTTTATATTTTAATGTTATCACATATTTAGATTATAATTAAATTAAAATTATTTTTTAACTTTTAAAATAAATATTTAAAATTTTAACTTCTTAACTTTCAACAAAAAAAAATATTTAAAAGTTTAGTCCTTGGGGCACGGGATTTCACAATAAAGAATATAATCTCGCCTTAACGTCCATTTATATTGAAATTATATTCTTTTTAGTGTTTTAAAATGTTTATAACGTAATTTGTCGCGTTTTGCCTCTTATACTACGCAACGTAAGTAGAAATTCGTGTTGCGCAAGCTATTAGAGTATAAAATTTCGTTTGCTAGAAATATCATATATTTGCATATACTAAAATTGAGTTGTCAATTTTAAAAATATTTTAGTAATATTATAAATTTTTGAATAAAATAATGTTGTGTATTATGATTAATAAAATGAGGACGATTTTATTTTGGCATGAAATGTCAAAATTTAAATGATATGAATTTCATTTGGTATGGATATTGTATCTAATTTTGAAATAAAATAAGTGGTATGAATTTTATTTGGTATGGGTATGAAAGTCGAATTTTAGGTTGAGTTGTTATCAAATTAAGGTGATATAATTCTTAACTTTTAGCATATTCCTATAATAACTTGTCATAAGATATTAATGATAATTTTATAATCGCCCCGATATATAATTTTCGAATGCTCTGATCCTAAGCAGGCTCATATGATTCAAAAGTTTATTTGACATAATTATATGTTTTGTATTGACACGTGTACATGTTCAGTTTTAGACATGAGAATTAGCATAAACTATTTTAAGTTTTTTTTTTTTTTTTGTCAAGTTACCATATACTACTCTTACTATTTCTTATTTAATTCATATAATAATTGTTATAATAAATATGTATTATTTTTATTTTTGAATATTTATATTTTTTTTATTTTTATTTTATTTTTTTTATGTTATATCTCAAATAATCATATTTTAATAATTTTCGATTGACATCCATATTGCATATATAGAATAAAAATAGTTACATCTATCATTATAAATAAAACTATATTTATTAAAAAATAATTTCAAAAATGTGAATACAACATAAATTATCTTATAACAAATATAATAAAAACCTAATTTAGTAATACACCATAAAATATTCATTTAGTGCATTTTACCATAGATTTTAAATAAAATAAAAAAATTAAGTGCAAAAATATGGACCCCATTTTGAATTAATTTACCATAGAATTTAAATAAAATAAGAAAATTAAGTGCAAAAATACGGATCCCATTTTGAATTAATTATTACTTTGTTAGTTATTCATTATACATAATTTTACAAAATAAAAATAAATTATTGTAATTTCTCTATTGTACAAATATTAATATATTTACGTACACGAGTATCGTACTAGTTGATATATTCCTCTTAAAAATTAGACATATTAGATAGATCCTTGAATAAATATTTTTTTATATTAAAAATTTATAATTAATTTTAAAGAATTAGTTGATAAATTTGAACGATAAAAATATATATTTATAGATTTAGTATAATATTGATTTATATGAAATAAATATTAGTGAAATATAAATTATTTTTTTTTGGATAGTTTATACAAAATAAATTTATATTAATTAATAAAAAAAATTAGTAGTAAGAGAGATAAATAGTAAAAATGATATAAAGAAAATAATAGAAAAATATATGGAAAGAGAGAAAAAGCAATAATAAAAGATTAAAAATGATTGTAGTGGAAAGAGAGAGAAACTAATAAAATGATATTTAATGCATGTTGTAGTGGGATGATGTCATATCTTATTTTAGTTTTGATTTATTTTAACATTAGGGAGTTAAAGAGAAGATAATTAAGAGGGTAGGGAGTTCAAAGGAAAAAATAAAGGCATAGGGACTGAGGAAGAAGATGGAAAGAGAGGTAGGGATTTTAGGAGAAGTTGCCCGAATTTGTATACAATTGATATACTTTAAAAATAATATAAATAAAAATATATTTATTATTATAAAAAATATTAAAAAAGTATGATAAGTCGACCATACCTATTTCACCCAATAATTTGGGTAAATTTTAGTCAAGATACCCCTTAACCCGATCCGTCTAATATATTAACCGTCCACTTTATAAACCCTGCTAAAGAAAAGAAACCCAGCAAAAACAAGGGCGAGAAAAAAACCCCAAATTCAGAACAGGTTTGCTTCGCTTCGCATTCACCGGAAAGCGACTATGGTAATTTTCCCAATGTAATTATTTTTACGCAAAATCCCATGATCCACAATCCTAACGATCTATTTTAGGGTTTTTTTTTTAATTCGAACCAATTCAAGCCATTAAACAATTGCTTGATTTCGTCTGACATTGTGATTGATTTTGTTTTTCTTTTTTTGCATACTACTTCGTTTTGTCTGAGCTGCAAGGCTGTGGATTCCAAATTGGGCTGCGTTATCTCCTACTTTTGTTACTGTAAAAGTCAATTTTCTGATTTGAGCTCTAATTGAGATTTTAATTCTGATAATTTCATGCATCGAGTTGTGTGTTTAATGAGAATGTTTTTCACTGTAACGAAAATCTCAGGGATCGGCTAACGTTCCTCTGTTTCGTGTGGCCATGTTTCTGCTCATCTGTTAATCTGTATGGCTCGTGTGCATTATCTGTCTACATAGTGAAATAGCTTAGAAACTGCACATATAGTTTGTTAATAAAATGATAATTGTTTGTTTTATACAAATAAAACAGTGTTTAAAGTTTTATTGTAGGTACGTTTACAGCCTGATCCTTTCCTCAATGAGCTCACCAGCATGTTCGAACGGACTACTGAAAAGGGTTCTGTGTGGGTTACGTTAAAACACTGTGAGTTTCTTCCCTAACTGTATCAATTTTCATGACACATGTTTTATGTGATCAGATGTTCAGAATAAGCGATCTTTATACTTGATGCTGTCTTCTGTTAAAAATTGAAAAAGTTTGGTTGCTTCATTTCAAGCATCTGACAAGTCCAAGGTGAAAAGAAATAAGATGAAGACAGCTGGTGAGAAGATCGAGTACAAGTGCCTCATTCGAGCTACAGACGGGAAAAAGACCATCTCGACCATGGTATACGTTCCTGCACCCCGCGGCATTTTATGCTTATCTTTTCTATATGCAACTCATTCTATGGAGAATGATAAAGAAGTCAGAACTGTAGAAAGTGAAAAATGCTTAAATCTTAATTGCTAATTAAGGAACTGCATTGTTGTTAATGTAGTTGCTCTGTGATATGCCAATTTCATTTGCTGTTATGAGGCAGGTATATTGTGGTCACATATATATATAAGAATAAAGCTAGTTGACATAATTCTTCAACATAAAGGATGACCAAAATTTATGTGTATCTTTAATAGTTGTTGATTTTAAAAGTGATGGGATGTCAAAGTAATAAGACTGTGACACTGTGTCACTATGTCAAACTTTGTATCATCTTTTATGATAACTGTAGCATGATTCTATATATAATATTAGTTTACGCTAGTAGTTATTACATACAACTATACAAGTGTGACTTGAATTATTCTCATTCTTAATTTTTGTTCAAATTCAAAATCTGTAGACGCTTGTAGTTCCCAGATAAGAAATTACCAAGGCATGAAAATGATTCATTCATAAGTCATATTCAGCATCCCACTATGCCCTTAGAAATAGGCTGAAGACATTTTGTGGTCTCTTACTCTATCCCACATGTTTAAGTACCGCTCTCTTGCATACTGGTTTATAGTGACTTACTCACTTATCCTTTTCTTTTACCCTGACATAAAATGTCTTTTCCTTTTACCTATATAAGCTGTTTAAAGATGTCCCCGGGAGATTGGCATATTGATGCTTCTGCTTTTTTTGGAATAAATATTTGCTTATAGTTGCCTCAATGCGCTAAATACTGGTCTACTGATATTGCTTTTTCATATTCTTAATGAAGTCGGGCTAAGTTGGGCCACCTAATCCTTGCTTGGGGCTTCTTATAAAGTGAGCAATATTTCTTTAAGCTATTCCACTTGTCAGAAATGAACACGTTAAANCGTAAGCTGAAGTGCAGAGTTAGAGGGTAGAACTGCATTATTTTGCTCATGCTTATCAATAAACCTTTTCACATTGTGTCTTTAACAAACTGTATTTAGTATCCAGTGGAAGTAATTCTAGCTGCTCCAGCTATGACACTTGAAGTCTTGAACTAAAAGAAAAATTATACCGAGTGAATTTTGAGCTTGCCATGAGGGCATCGAAGGAAAAGCATTGACACGATCTGGAGTTATCGAACATATTTCTAGGAAAATCTCAAAACTTGGAACAAATCTTTAACACCTATATCCTTCATCTTTAGCACACTCGAGAATTTAAACTATAATGTTTCTGTTGAAATATGTGAAGAAAATCAGATTCTTTTTTCATTTTTCATTTCTTTTCGTTTTTATTTTTTTCCTGATTCTGATTTCGGTTAAACCTACAAAAAATTCACTTCTTTGGATCCAATTGCACGCTTGCTCATTATTTATTTATCCTTTTTTTGTTTTTAGTATTTTTCTTAGTTAAGCAGACACAGTTGTTTGTATCCGACTTTTTTTCAACAAAACCTCATTTGGCTGGAATAATAGGTTGGCCCGAAAGATCATCAACGTTTTCAATCTAGTTATGCGACTATTCTGAAAGCTCGGATGACCGCTTTGAAGAAAAGGGAGAGGAAAGACAAGAGAAAGGCAGTTGATTCCGAGAAGAAACAGGTCTCAAAGAAGGATTCAAAGAAATAATGTGCTACTGTGGCTGAACAGGATTTCCTTCATCCACTCTCCTTCATTTTTCTCTATATGTTGTTCAAATTTTTATTTTTATTTATTTTTTTCTTTTTCATTTGGGTCTATCTATGCTGAGGAATCTAACAATTTTTGTGTGGTTTCGCTTATTTACATTTTACAATATTGAGGGACAGTCTGATCAAAACTGGAAACTTGATCTTTACATTTGATTCTGTTTCTGGATTTATTTTTGACACACTATTAACACTTCTCAAATTTTCTACAGTTTACTGCTATAAGATTACTTTCTATTACGGTTTTCAATTAGCTTAACATTGGGGAATTTGTTTATGGTATTGTGACAGTACATTTGATTTGAGGCTGCTTTTGTCAAGGAAACAATCACACACTCGTGGCGTGCTTGACAATTTTACCCATGCTCAAATGAACGGAAAAAGTGGAACAGTCGTTAGTTATTTATTTTTTTTTTTTTAAAAATAGATAATCTTTATTACATTGGTATGCTTGCTAAATTTAGTTCAAAAGCTTGTACCTAAATTTCGTGCTGAAAATCTAATTAATAAGTTTGTTGAAATATAAAATTCAGCTGAATTTTTTTGAAAAAGTTCATGAAAAAGCTTATGAAATAAGATTAGACTCAATTAAAAAAAAATAACTTACATAACCAAATTTATTTGAAAGAAAAAATAAGTTAAACAAATATGTTATAAGCAAATTTATTGTACTTAACATCACGCTCTTAATCTTAATCGAATAAGCTGGGATCGGGATTACAACAATGAGACAGTTCATAGAATAAAAGAATATAACAGTTATGTTGTACGATTTTTTTTAAAACATTCCATTAAAAATGATAAAAAAAAAATACTTTAGAAAATTATATATATTTGAAATGGAATGGGTCATTTAAAATAAATAATGTTTTGAAAAAAAAATAACTAAAACATTACTAAGAATTTATAAGGTTATAAATATGTAAGTGAATTAATATTATTTTACTGAAAAATATATATAAGACGGTTATTTTTAATTTTTAATTGTGTTGATAGAACTATTGAAAAAAGTTGAAAAATATATTTGACAAAAATATTATATTTCAATTTCATGACAAAAACGATTTATTTTTATTTTTATTTAAATATCCAATCTTCACCTTGTCTGCTGTAAAACCTGCCTGCTTTTTGATAAATCTCTCTCTCACAACCCAGCGCAGCTTGGCGGTAGGGGGAAGTGGGAACTCCTCTTTAATAAAAAAGGAAATCTCTCTATCTCTCTCTCAACCTGACATCAAATTCTTCTTTGGCATTTTCTTCTTTCCCCAGCAGCAAACTCGCAACTGAGTTCAAATCCCTCCAGATTCCTGAAAAGCAGTCGAAAAATGAATTGCTGTTATATTTGTTTCGAGAAGAAGAAAGCTTGGAGTATTGTGTTGCCTCTACAAGGACAACATGAGGGACTCATCACCTACTTCAATGGAGCCCACATAAAGGCTCCCCTTCAACAAGTAAGCTTCTATCAGTGGAAAGTTTCAATTTTTATCATTGTTAAGCTTGTTGCTAAAATGCTTGATCCCTTCCCCGGGACTTTTGGGTTTTGGGGCATCTGGGTTTTATCTGTCTAAGCAGCGTGGATAGCCATTGGTCTGAATACAATAATGTGATTGACATAATATGCTAATTTTAGTTGGGCATAGGAATTTTAGTCCTTCAAAGGATACTGTCTTCTTGAATTCTCTCAAGTCTCATAGTTTGACATAATGAAATTTAGTACCCGTTTTAGTTGCTGATATCAGGGTTGTTTTAAGTTTCGTGGAAAGAGTTCTTGCGTGTTTGTATGAGGAGTTCATTTATTTGCTGCTGATATTTCTTGTGTTGTCTGACTTGGATAAGTTTGATTTTACTTCGAACTGAGGTGACTTTTTTCACAAAATATTCCACGAATTGGTTAAAAAATTTATCAACCGGAAAAAGGTTTTGTGGTACTTATTAGGGGAGAGGAGATAGTGATGTTTCTGTTCAGACTATTATCGATATTTATTTTCTGGTGGAGATGAATGTTCTCATACTTTATTTAATCCATCGAAAAGTGCTGCCAAGTTTTTCATACATTTGGTGTAAATGCTGTTTAACTTATTTCTATTGGTGGCTTTGATTATAACATGTGGCCATGTCACTTGCCAAAGAAGCTCGTGCTACATATGTCAATTTTGCGTTCGAAAACGGCAGTGGATGAGCTGATAATAACTTCTATTTGTGTGAATCGAATTTCTTAATCTAGTGAAATTGCCAAAAAATGGTTGGCATATGGCATGTTGTTTCTTATATTATATTATTCCAAAATATTACTGGCCCAACTCGACTGATTTGGCCTCGACTCCTAAGTTTTGCAACTACTCCCGAGCGTTATGAGAATCGAACATCTACATCAACATGAGTAGTCACCAAATCTATTTTCTTATTTTTCAGCAAAAAAAATTATTTGAAGGTAAAATTTGATTTTCTTCTAGATAAAACTGTTCTAACACCACTTTGTTTGGCTGTCGATTTTGTTCAGTGAGGATACAAACAGAAGGAGGTTTTCAAGGATTAGAGTGTCGAAAGATGGTGATAGGTCTCTTTATGGCTACGGTCTCGATCGGATTTTATGCTGCAAACTCCCCACACTGAAGCTTGTGATGGTCATTATCACTATCGGTGCATTTTGCACTCTCCTACGTTCTCCATCTATTCATGAAGCAGATCATATATCCACCACACGTTCGAGGTAATTTTATACATTTATGGATCGTGCTTCTTAATATTTTTGACATGTGAGATTTGCACGAATAAAATGTATTTTTGTGGTTCTCGAGTTTGATTTCTTGTTAATCATACTCAGCAGTCTGTGCCAGATTATTAATTGTTTTAGCTCTAAAATTTCCCATCCGAATAATTTTCATTCTGCACAAGCTAACCGTATTCTGTAATATTATGTTTGGTAACCAAATAAGCTAGCTTATACCTTTATTTAGTCAGCTTATAAGCTTCATGTATTCAAATAAGCTTGGTTTATTAGGACGAGCTTTTTAAAAAGCTCGAGCTTATCTCATAAGCTTCTTTGGGTAGCTTTTCAAATAAGCTCGTTGAAATTTTTTATTTCAGCTAGCTTATCAGCTAATTTTACCAAACACTTTTATGATATAAACTAGCTTTTCAGCTATAAGCTATAAACTCGAAAAACACTTATAAGCTAGCTTTACCGAATATAGTCTAAGCTGAATAACCGAAGAACACTCATCAATAGACTAATTAATTAAGGACAAATGTAATCATTTACCATTATTTCACAGTCTTGATGATGACAGGTCAAACTTGGTAGATAGATGGATCACACAGGACAAATTCGGGATAAACCGAAGCTATTATACATCTCATTTAAACATCAACTGGAGCGAAGTTTCTGTTACGATCGAGAAATTTACCGACAGTTACAAAGGAATAGGTCTGTTGAATTTCATCGACCAAGAAATCAACGAGTGGAAGCAATTAGTACCTCGTGCTAAGCATGTTGTACTTTCCGTTAGTTACGCCTCTCTTAACATCACTTGGGAAACACTTTATCCCGAATGGATAGACGAGGAAGAGGAATATGAAGTGCCAGCCTGTCCTGATCTGCCGAGAATCAGCTTAGCTGGCAAACCGCGATTGGACCTCATAGCCGTGAAGCTTCCGTGTAATAAATCAAGCAAGTGGTCGAGGGATGTAGCTCGTTTGCACCTCCAGCTGGAAGCCGCCAGGCTGGCGGCAACTGTCAAGGGGAATCATTCGGTGCATGTTCTTATCGTGACTGAATGTTTTCCAATTCCGAATTTGTTCACTTGCAAAGAGTTGATTGTGAGGGAAGGGAATGTGTGGGTTTATAAGCCGAAACTAAGCGATTTGAGAGAGAAGGTTCGCTTGCCGGTCGGCTCGTGTGAACTCTCACTTCCTCTGAATTCTGAAGGTTAGATTTAATTTATGGTTTTAGTTTTTTTATCATGCAGCTACAGACAAAGTTCGTATAGTTCGGTTTCGTATAAATCGGGTTAGATCATGAGAATAAGACCAACTTGAGGCTAGCTTAAGGGAGTGATTGGATTCGAAAATATGTTTTATTTTTATTCCAATCTAAAAATAGTTCCTCAATGCACTTTTTGTTGTTGTTCTCACTTTCTTTCTTCATGCGCAGTTTTTGAAATTGAATGACTAATGGTTTCTACGCTCTTGTTGTCAAACGGTTTTACATTAAGATAATCGACTAAAATTTGTTATAATTTATCTAAAATAATTATATTAAAGATACTTAAATATCTGAGCAATGTACCTAAAAGAAATCCTAAAGAAAACTAAAAAATTTGATAAATGTAGAAAAGCCTTGGAAAAATGTAACTAAAAAAAAAAGTGATATTATAACCCTGAGATTGACAAAATTGAACTAACATTTGAATTTTTTGCTCTGTTGGACAGAACACTTTCCCGTTGGACAGAACACTTTCCCGTAGCTCATTTGAAGTTTTTGCCTTGTTAGTTAACACCATCTTCTGTTTCTGAGTCTGTCAGATTAGGGTGAGCAAAACCGAGTCAAAATCGAAAGATCGAGCCGAACCTTGCAATTTGGTGTTGTTCGGTCGGTTCGGTTTTAATAATATTAAAAATATTTGGTTCAATTTTGGATTGGTTTTTTTCTACACGGTGCGGTTATAGATTTTTATAAGTTTGGTTTCTGATTTTGTTCGGTTCGGCGAGGTTTTGCACCGAACCACACCAAATTGAATAAAATGTGTAGAAAAATTGTGATAAAACCAAAAATCCAGCCAAACCATGCATTTCGGTGTGGTTCGGTTTGGTTATTTGAATGTTTAAAAAAAAATTCGGATCTGTTTCGGTTCGGTTTTTTCTAAATTGCGGTGTGGTGCGGTTATTTTATTTTATTTTATTTTGATAGGTTCGGTTTTTCTATTTTATGCAGAAAAGTCTTACCCAGTCGGCAACCTGAAGCGCGAAGCTTACGCAACAATCCTCCACTCGGCCCACGCGTATGTGTGTGGAGCCATCACCGCAGCCCAGAGCATCCGAATGTCGGGCTCATCGCGCGACCTCATTGTCCTTGTTGATGATGCCATTACACCTCACCACCGCGCGGGCCTCGAGTCTGCGGGCTGGAAGGTCCGGCCCATACTCCGTGTCCGCAACCCAAAAGCTGAGCCCGAAGCCTACAATGAGTGGAACTATAGCAAATTCCGCCTTTGGCAACTCACCGACTACGACAAGGTCATCTTCATTGATGCTGATCTCCTCATCCTCCGCAACATCGATTTCCTTTTTCAGGTAAACTTTATATGGATTGTGCACCAAAGTTTTTAAAAGTAAAGCATTTTTAGTTCATATGTAATGTACTTAAATATTGGTGTATATTTATTTATTATGTAATGTATATGTGTAATTGATGTTTATTTTAGATTTATCTTATTCTTAATGAACAAAATTGCTCCTTTTTTTCTACGATTTTGTGGAAAATTGGTTTATAGCCATTTTGATTCTAAAAGAAACCATTTTTTAAGATCCCTTAATTGGTTTCTATAATCAAAATGGCTCTGAAAAGTTTTTTTCACAGAAACTGATTATGTTTTACATCTTTTTACCTACAAATTAAGGGCCAAAAAGAGATGTTACAATATCAATCTGTATATTGATGACTTGATTTATACCTTGATTTTTTTGTAATGTATGTAGTATTCTATATTGATGTATATTATTTGTCATGTAATGTGTGTGTGTATATAACCAGTGTGTATATAATCATATATGTATGTGTCTTTAACATGATATACATCCATTGAGAAGGTTCACCCGCTGTACTTTAATCTGCATACTTACACCACCGAATGTAATACTTTTGTTTACGATGTTTTCTAAAGTATGACATTTTATATGAAAGTATTGCATATTTCTGAAAAGTGTATAATTACGTTTTCTTTTTCTTTTTCTTGTGAAAAGAGTATAATTAAGTTAGTTATTAGTTAGTTTAAGTATTTGAATGTTTTAAATTGCCTGAATATTTAATTAACAAAGTTTTTATATATAACTTTTATTATATAAAATATTATATATTTTTAAAAATATTAATAAATTAAATAGCAGTCCAACATGTTTAACCACAGGTCAGATTAGTGAACCATTGAACTTGAATTAGTAGCTTGACCAGTCATGTTTTCTCAGAACTTTGCAAAAAAAATGCATACTTATACTATCAAATTTTATACTTATGTTCTGATTAAAGTATGCATATTTGTGAAAGAAAAGTATAATTACGTTTCCATTTTCTTTTTTGCTTTTTCTTAAGATGCCCGAAATATCTGCCACGGCTAACAACGCCACGCTCTTCAACTCGGGCGTCATGCTAGTCGAGCCCTCCGAGTGCACTTTCAAACTTCTAATGGACCACATTGACTCGATCGACTCGTACAACGGCGGTGACCAAGGCTACCTAAACGAGGTCTTCACATGGTGGCATCGAATTCCGAAGCGCATGAATTTCCTCAAGAACTTTTGGGAAGGAGACGAGCCTTCATGGAAGGAAGCAAAGACCCGCATGTTTCGGGCCGACCCGCCCATTCTCTACGTGCTTCACTATTTGGGCCTCAAGCCATGGATGTGCTTTCGGGACTTCGATTGTAATTGGAATGTGGAGATTCTTAGGGAGTTTGCAAGTGACGAGGCCCACTCGACTTGGTGGCGGGCCCATGATGCAATGCCTCGGGAGCTTCAAAGGTATTGTTTGCTTAGGTCGAAGCAAAAGGCTACGCTCGAGTGGGATAGAAGGCAAGCGGAGAAGGGGAATTTTAGCGACGGACATTGGAGGATTAAGGTGAAAGATGAGCGTTTGAGTACGTGTTTCGAGGATTTTTGCTTCTGGGAGAGCATGTTGTGGAATTGGGGGAAGTCGAATAGGACGATGGGCGTGCAAAAGACGGGTTCACGCTCTTCTTCGTAAGTTTTTNGTTGGTTTTACGTATACGAGGAAATATATAATTTTGGTGTCTTTATATGCATATGGTTTTTGTAGTTTCTTGTGTGTTGTTGGGTTTGGGATTTGGGGGGTATTGTTTGAGTTTTGATGAAAAGGGTGTTGTCGAGTAGAGGTGTTATTCGATCGGTAGCTCAAATGTTGGTAGCTTAAACGAGCACGAGTTGAGTCGGGGGATTGTTTATAGTATTAATGAAAAGGGTGTTGTCGTGAGTAGGGGTGTTATTTGAGCCGAGTTGGGTAGTTCATGTTCGAGCTCGTGCTCGTTTAATAAACGAGTCAAAGGATCGGCTCGTTTAAGCTCGCGAAAGCTCGGTATCGGCTCAACTCTGACTCGTTTAGCAAATCTAAAGTTTTAAATGGATTGTTCGCGAACAAAATCGACGTTTTCATTTAAAATCCATTAAAAATGAAAAATAAAAATTAAAAAGTTGAGTTGTTTGGGAACAAGCTTGGCTCGATTAGTTTAATAAACAAGTCCGATCGGTTATTTGAGTTCGACATGATTTTTATTGAACGAGTTCGATTAGTTGTTTGAGTTCGACTCAGCGAATGAGCCGGGTTTGAGCTGAATTGAGTTGTGTTTGTGAACTGCTCCGTTTGAATAATAACTCTATTCTGACGCAGAATTACATCTAACTTTATTATTCACCATTTTGTTTACATCATTGCTCTTATTAGATATTACATTAAAGCGTATAAATAAGTTCTGGTTGGTTTTCTTCAACCAGTGTGTGAATCTCTTGATTCACAATACAATAAACAAATGAACAAATATTNGAAAAAAAAAAAAAAAAAAGAAGAAGAAAAAAGTCTATATGTTAAAATCACTCCTTATTTGTCGAGTCATGGATCGAGAGCTTCAATGGCCGGGTCCTCTAGGGCTAGGTCCCGATGCTAGCCGCTGCAGCCAATTGGACATTATCGATTTTGCATTTTCGTACGCTATCGGAAAAGTGGCGAGATGGTCTGATCGAGAAAAATCTTCCGATAATACCCTTGCGGCCTCGACTCGAGCTCGACTCATGCATGCCACAGAAATCAAGAAAACAATGAAAAATGTTATGGTACCTCTTTGGCTATTCATCTTTTCAAGTGCAACTTTTGTAGAATCTAAGATGTATGTGCTAGAAATATGAGAAGGTATAATTTACTTGTAAAACCTTTTGTATGGGTTAATTGGAATAAATATGAGAACATAATGCATGGGTTTCTTCCTTTTTATAGAGTGATACACTTTGAATTGACAAATGTAAGAAGTAATTATTTATTTATTTGTTCAATTTGGAATAGAGTTGTTCTTTGTTTTCGTGTTGACTAGGGACATGAAGGTCAAACTTGTCAATTTGAACGTGTCAATTACATTTTTTTTTCTTTTTCTTTTTTGGTGTCGATTACTTGGTTTATAGTAAGCTTTTTCATACTGAAATTTCAAAAAACATGTCCTTTGGGACATGGGTGAGGGGTAATTTCGGTAGAGGATTGAGTAAAAGTGTTTGAAGTCTTAAGGATTGAAGTTTTGACTTGATCCCAACAAATTTAACCATCGCAGCAAATAAAAAATGTCTATATGAACTTTATTGGTAGAATGCACCAACTTGTGATTGTAATATAGTAATCGAGTTTGCATTGTTTGGATCAATATATATTTGTATACATTTACCTATACGAGTATGTATTGATCCAATAATAAAAAACTCGATAACTACAATGTAGTTACTGGCAAGGCCAAATTTTTTATCAATATTTTATCTATAGTGAGAAAAAAGTATAAGTGTGCGAAATATATAAAAGCTAGTTTAAGGTTTAAAATCAAGTATTATTTTTCTTTTTTTAAATAATTTTTTATAATGTTTCACATCTTGTAGTTTCAATTTTGGTCAAGATTTTTGTAATATTAATTACTTAAATAAAACTTGAATTCTATGTGTGGAGCACGCTGACGACTGGAAAATTGTGGAACAAGAAATGTTTTGATCAAAGTTTTATAAAATGTAAACGCTTGAAATGTATATAAATTTGTTGTAGGCTACAAGCAACTTTGACCTTAACCTAACCTTTATTATATGTCATTGAGTTTGATATCCTTTTTTATTCCCTTTTTAAAATTGTTTAATTAATAAAATAAAACAATTCATGGGAGTTGGATATCGAAATTGCGCATCCGAAAAGATTCGGTTCTTTTTGAACATATTGGAAATAGGAACATTTACATATATTCCGTAAAAACCGTATATGCAATTTTACTGATACAATTGAATGGACAATCATCAAAGTATTGGAAGGGATTAATATAATCTGCATTCAATCACCTAGGCTGAGATAGATGGATGTCGCCACACCCAGCGCGTACGCCCCAATCGCCGCCGCCAAGACCCCCTTCCCCGGCCTCACCACCGCCCCGAAACCCGCGATTCCCGCCACGCCGATCGGTAGGCCTTTGAGCGCTTCCGCCCTCGCCCCGGAGACGACGGCGTCCGCGAACACCTCCGCCGCGAACTCCCCGAACTCCGCCTCGTCTAGGGTTATCTCTTCCTCCTCCAAGCGCGCCGCGCGGCGGGAGAGGACGGCCTGCAGGGCCCGATCCACCTCGGTCCGGTCCGGAGGGCGTGGGACCCATCGGGAGACGAGTCGGAGCGAGTGGGATTCGGAGAGGGCTCGGTGGAGGCGCTCCGCGGCGGGGAGGAGCTGGTATGGTTTCACTCCGGCGAAGGCGTGCTGGCTGAGAGAGAGGCAATCGGCGTAAGCGGCGGCGCAGGCCGAGTTGAACTCCGGCGAGCGGCGGAGGGTTTGTTTAACCCTCTTCGAACATGATAAGCCCATTGATGTGGTGAATATGGTTTTAGTTTCGGGCTCGATCTTTATTTGGCCCAATTTTGTTTTACATACGTGGCATATAGATGTATTTAAGTCACAAATTTAATTTTAAAAAAAAACTCAAAAAAAAAAAANCTATTATTACTGAAAAATTATACAGTGAAAAAATAAAATACTAGATTTAGTATAGCTGTCAAGCAATAAAAATACTTTAATATATTTTCACTATTGAGGAAAACATTCATGGACAAACCTAATAAAAAAAACTCAAAAATTATCAAGTGCAAAAAAAAAATACTAGATCTAATATACCTGCCAACCAATAGAAATGCTTTAATATTTTTTCTTTAGTAGAAAAAAATTAAATTAAGAATTAATGTTGGGTGTTTAAGTTTGTACTGAGATCCAAAATAAACTCAAGAGTGTACTTGGTCTCATTTTTTTTATTGTCATATAAGTTAGACCATGTCCACGTTTAATTGCATTGGAAAATATTTTTTTATAGACAAAGTCTATTTCTTATATGACATATGATATTTTTTAAAAGACTCAAAGAATTAGTGCTATCATCATATTTTATAATTATTTTTTTCATTTTCTTTTATTTATTTTTTTTTTAATTGTATTGAAAATTACTTCTATATTTATTTCCTTAAAATAAAAATAATCATTTTTTAAAATATTTGATTAAAATTACACACAAAAAAATCAGTGACGCATCAAAATCGATTTTTTCCCATCACTAAGGGTGATTGTTTATCAACCCAATTAAAAAAAAAAACCAATCAAAACTCAAATTTAACTCAACTTTAACTCAACTCCATTATCTCCATTATTACCAATATAACTAATTAATACCAACCAATCATTCTTACACATCACATCAATTTTAATTCACTATTCATTCACTCACATAATTTTAACTAACCACTACTTCCAATCATTTTCTCTTACTTTTACATCATATCAACTTTAATTATTTTATTTTAAATACTATTTTAATATATCCACTAACAACTAACCATACTAACTTTTTTTAAAAGTAACTATAGTTAAAAAAACCAATTAATTTCTAGATGAATTGATAAACAATCACCCCATAAATTGCTCCCTCGTTTCATTCCCTATCTCGCCGACGCCGCCGGCCTTGCCGCTTTGAGCTCCACTGCTACCGCCGCCGGTGGCCCTACCAGTCTTTATCCGCCTCCGTAAGTCCATCAGAACCAACGATTCGCCGCACAGCCCCCCTCACAAGATACGACCGTCGGCCATCGGAACCTTACGGCAGAGCTCGAAAACAGGTTTCATCGCTAATTTCAATTATTGCATCTTTGGAATTTCACGAACTTGGATTGTAATATTCTTTCTGTTTGAGCATTGATTTCTTTAGTATCATACCATTAGTTCTGAAATGGAAGATTGTGTATGAATGAGAAATATGTCAAGCCCTTAAATTCATCTGTCTTGCTATTCAGGTTAAATGAGCAGCTTAAGACTCAACTGTTTCGAAATAGGTTTTAGGCAAAAGCATAAATTTTGCACCTTAGTTCAAAATCCGGGCCTGCATAAGATCACCTGCGGCCTAAGAAATGGGCCTCGAAAACCTTTGATCACCTGCGGCCTGAGAAATGGGCCTCGAAAACCTTTGTGGAGGTCACGGGTACTCTCCACCGAGGCCATTCAAGCTGTTCAATCCCTGAAATTGGCGCAGAGTTCATCTTCTAAACTGGATCGAGTTTTTAGCAGTAAGATCAACAGGCTTTTGAAGGCCGACTTGTTGGATGCACTGACTGAGCTGCAGAGGCAAAATGAATTGGATTTGGCATGTAAGGTAAATTTGGAAGTTTTT